CCCCACTGGTTTAACTGGGCATTAAAAACCCCCCTGGGTTTACCTGGCAGTATAAAAACCCCCCTGGTCACCTGGGCAGTAAAAACCCCCCCTGGGCCCCCTGGTCAGTTAACAAACCCCATGGGTTCAACCCGTCATATAACAACCCCTGGTTTTCCCCTGGTCGTAAACAACCCCCTGGTTCCACTGGTCGTAAACAACCCCATGGTTTTACACTGGGCAGTATAACACCCATGGGCCACACTGGGCAGATAAAAACCCCACTGGGTTTACACTGGGCATATAACAAACCCGTGGACACACTGGTCAGTATAACAAACCCCACTGGTCCACACGGTCAGTATAAAAAACCCCCCTGGTTCCCCATGGTCAGTATAACAACCCACTGGGCCCCCACTGGTCGTATAAAAAACCCCCCCTGGGCAAAACCCGGGCAGTATAACAACCCCACTGGTCCACATGGGCAGTATAACAACCCCCCTGGGTTTAACTGGGCATTAACAACCCCATGGGTTTACATGGAGTATAACAACCCATGTCACACTGGTCAAATAACAACCCCCTGGTTTACACTGGCATATAACAACCCCATGGTCCACACTGGCATATAACAACCCCCCTGGTCCACACTGGTCAGTATAACAACCTCGCTGGTACACACTGGTCAGTATAACAACCCCACTGGTCCACACTGGTCAGTATAACAACCCCACTGGTCCACACTGGTCAGTATAACAACCTCGCTGGTACACACTGGTCAGTATAACAACCTCGCTGGTCCACACTGGAGTTAACAAACCCCGGGTCCACACGGGCAGTATAAAACCCATGGGCCAACTGGTCATATAACAACCCCCGGTCCCCCCTGGTCGTATAACAACCTCGCTGGTACCACGGTCAATAACAACCTCGTGGGGACCACTGGCAGTTTTAAACAAACCCCCGCTGGGACACACTGGTCAGTAAAACAACCCCGCGGTAAACTGTCATATAACAACCTCGCTGGTACACACTGGTCAGTATAACAACCTCGCTGGTACACACTGGTCAGTATAACAACCTCGCTGGTCCACACTGGTCAGTATAACAACCCCGCTGGTCCACACTGGTCATAAAAACAACCCCCCTGTCCACACTGGGATATAAAACCCCCTGGTCCACACTGGGCAGTATAACAACCCCGCGGTACACCCGGTCAGTATAAAAACCCCACGGTTTCCACCTGGGCAGATAACAACTCGCTGGGACACATGGTCAGTATAACAACCCCATGGGCCCCCATGGGCCCGGTAAAAAAGTTGTGGAAGCAGGTGTGTTGAGGGTTTATGTGGAGGATGTGTTGGGTATATGGGTGTGGAAAATATATGGGGGAAAGGGGGGTGGGGAAAGAGAGGGGAGAGAAAGAGAGAGAGAGAAAGAAGAGAGGAAGGGGGGAGGGAGTGAAGGGTATGCAGGAATTTGGGCAAAAAATTTCGTTACAATGCGGCTATTTCAGTATTGTGGAATCGCCCGTAGGCCACTATGGAACTGTGTGAGGAGGAAAAATTTTTTTATCCCCCGACTAGCCCGTCTCGTGTCTTTGTACATCGGGACCAAAACTCCCTTTTCATCGGCATTTAAAGCCCGGTGCATCTTTCCCTTTTTTCTCCCCTGGTTTAACATTCGTTCCCCACCAATGCAGATAAAACCTCGGTCATTCCCATTTTTCTGACATATTATGAGGCGCTATGCTGGCGCTGCGTATTCGAGTCCCCGAGTGTTACGCTCCGTGCATAACTTACGAGGGCGTTTGCAAAAGTTTCCTGTGCATTTAGGTGGGGTTTGTTTAATGGGTTTTAAAACCTATCTTTACCAGCAAGAGGCCTTGTTCTAAAATAGGGATCAAAGTATAAACTCAACGTATGTATACACTGGCAGATTACAATTTTAGGGGAAAAATGCCCTTTTGGGGTTAAAAAATTGGAGAGCGGCATGTATTGTTTGTCTCTGGGAAAATTGCTTGGTTTTGGGTTTAAAGGGGTTTGAGCCTTTGGGTAACGAGGGTCTTTAAGGAATTTTTTGCTTTTTTACCCCAGTAGGGGATATTTTAATGTTATACAAAGGAAAAACATTTAGAGAAGCATACTAATTTTATTTTACTGAAAATTTCACCTCTCTCATTGTATATATACACACACACACATGTCGATGTTATAACAAGAAAATACACCTCTGGTTATATACGCAATGAGAGGTTTTAATTTCCCGGTTATAGCCCACTTGTTTATCCGACGCTACTTTGTACACCTTCCAGTTATATGACTAGTAGGTATACCCGCCCCTAAAGTGACGCCTGTTAGTATACATGAAATGCATGGGTATACATGCCAAATATTGACATACCTGATATACCCCCAGTAAATTGCCAGAAAAAATTTAGCTACCGCCGTAACTTCAGTTCCCGGGATACCTGTGTTAAAATTTACATACCTGCCATATACTTGATTACTGATATACTTGCAGTATACTTTAGATTTCCCCGCCAGTAAAATTGAGTTTAACCCGCTAGATATTTAAGTATACCTCCCCGAAAACCCGAGATACCTGCAGTATACTTGAGAACCTACAAGTATACTTTGGGATACTGATTACTCCGGATACTCAGTTTTTGCATTACTTTCATAATAAAAAAATATTTATTTTGTCCAAAATATTAAATAAAAACTAAACTACCCTTAAAAATTATTTTTTTTTTCAAAAAAGAAAATTTTTTGGGAATTTTTTAAAAAAATTTTTATTGGAAGTTTAAAGACGTCATCCTAACAGTTATTCCGTCATTTTCCCAACAGTTATTCCAAATATTCCTAACATTATTCCAGCATTCCTAACGTTATTCCAGCTTCCTAACTTATTCCCGTCTTCTAACGTTATTCCCGTCATTCCTAACAGTTTTTTCATTTTATTCCTAACAGTTTTCCAGTCATTCCTAACAGTTATTCCAGTCATTCCTAACAGTTATTCCAGTCATTCCTAACAGTTATTCCAGTCATTTCTAACAGTCATTCCAGTCATTCCTAGCAGTCATTCTAGTCATTCCTAACAGTCATTCCAGTCATTCCTAGCAGTCATTCTAGTAATTTCTAACAGTCATTCCTGTCATTCCTAACAGATATGTCAGTCATTCCTAAAAGTCATTCCAGTCATTCCTAACAGTCATACCAGTCATTCTAGTAATTTCTAACAGTCATTCCTGTCATTCCTAACAGATATTTCAGTCATTCCTAAAAGTCATTCTAGTCATTCCTAACAGTCATTCTAGTCATTCCTAACAGTCATTCCAGTCATTCCTAGCAGTCATTCTAGTAATTTCTAACAGTCATTCCTGTCATTCCTAACAGATATGTCAGTCATTCCTAAAAGTCATTCCAGTCATTCCTAACAGTCATACCAGTCATTCTAGTAATTTCTAACAGTCATTCCTGTCATTCCTAACAGTTATTCCAGTCATTCCTAACAGTTATTCCAGTCATTCCTAACAGTTATTCCAGTCATTCCTAACAGTTATTCCAGTCATTCCTAACAGTTATTCCAGTCATTCCTAACAGTTATTCCAGTCATTCCTAACAGTTATTCCAGTCATTCCTAACAGTTATTCCAGTCATTCCTAACAGTTATTCCAGTCATTCCTTACAGTTATTTCAGTCATTTCTAACAGTCATTCCAGTCATTTCTAGCAGTCATTCTAGTCATTCCTAACAGTCATTCCAGTCATTCCTAGCAGTCATTCTAGTAATTTCTAACAGTCATTCCTGTCATTCCTAACAGATATGTCAGTCATTCCTAAAAGTCATTCCAGTCATTCCTAACAGTCATACCAGTCATTCTAGTAATTTCTAACAGTCATTCCTGTCATTCCTAACAGATATTTCAGTCATTCCTAAAAGTCATTCTAGTCATTCCTAACAGTCATTCTAGTCATTCCTAACAGTCATTCCAATCACTCCTAGCAGCCATTCCTACTTATTCCACTTGTAACTGTAGTCATTCAACACCGTTATCAACTAAGTGCATTTAAGTATCATCAGTATCTAATTCTGATGGCTACAACTTTACGTAAAGATAATATATACTAAGAATATAATGTATATTCTAACAACAAACTCAATGATATTACTCTCTTAATATATATATATATATATATATATATATATATATAATATATATATATATATATATAAAATAATAAATATATAATATATATATATGTATGTATGTATGTATATTAAAAGTAGAAGGATCTGGCCCACAGAATAAATGAAACATTAAATTTCAATCTGAGTACATTATTGCCAGGACAGTGCTCCTGGGGGAATTGTGTTCTGTAGTGATTCTGAAGGTTCTTTAGGGGAATCATTCTCTAGTGTGCTTCAAGTTCCCTGTAGAGCTCACGACAAGCTCTTCACGGAGCTTCAAGCTTCTTGTGCAGCTTATTATTTAATCAAGATCGTCGTCTCAGAGGGCGTTCAATCTGCTCTTCGTGAGAGTATTTTCTTTTACTTATAACTTATAGCAACATCATCTGGCTATGAAGGTGAGACAACTCACAATATCTGCAAGATATTATGGGGCAACTAGACAATGTTTCGGTCGGTCCTCGGCTGAGTAATGAGCCAGGATAGACCGAAACGTCCTCTAGTTTACATTTACAATTTGAGGGTCAGCTACGGCCTATTCCAGTCACGGAATTGCCAACTTGATTCCTCCACTAGTGCGCTAGTTTACTAGTCTGGATATGGAGATCTTCATAAGAGTGGATTCTCAGGTCTTCACTGGTCCCGGACCGAACTACAGCTAGTGCAAGATTTCTTTATCACACATCTGTTAATAAACATAGTGTTGCAAAAGAAACAGCTCTTATTAAAATGTTTATTAGTGAATTTCTGGAGCCGACAGCCACAACCTGGAATTTAATAACCCGGAGAAAATCAGTAATAATAAAAAAAATATAACTTTTGTGACCTCGTAAAGGGAGGCTCAGGCAATAATATTTGTTTTTCTTAGGATGAAGACCTTGATGCCTAGATTTTTGATAGCTAATTCACCATAGATGATGGGTTCTTAACCTCCGTCCATGTATTGTGTAAGAGATGGATGTCAAATCTCCACTCGTGTTTCCGAAGGAGAAATTGACATCCAGACCTTCTTTGATGTCTTGGAAGACGGATGTCACCTCGATGTCTACACTTCCACGGTCTCACTTAGTCCCATCACTTCAGACAGTTCCTTCCTGGTGAACTCTTGTTCCACGTGAGTCATGGAACAGTTACTGATTGATCCACCACTCAGGAGACTGTCTGACTGGCTTCTCTTGCGATCCAAAGGACACGAAGTGGAGACGATATCAACTGGATTGTCGATGGCCTCAGCTCTGCGAACCCGTGGCCTAAACAGCGGTCTGCACTTCGAGGCTCCTCTTCTGACCTTGCTGTGCGCCAACTTGTGTTTACCAGCGCCCCGGCGCACACCGTTGAAGGTGTGTTTGAGGTGACTCTTCCTGTGGCCGGTCCTGGAGGATCTGGAGGCGTCGCTGCAGGTGCTGGAGGCAGCGGTAAGGGCTGGGTTGGACTCTGAGACGAAGCTGTGTTCTGTAAGTTCAAGGGTGTGGGTATGTTGAGAGCGAGAGGACTGAGAGCGAGAGGACTGAGAGCGAGAGGGCCACCTACCTCCGCTGGTGCCAAGCTTTCTGCCACAACAGCTCTCCAGTGTCACCTGCAACACAAGACAGAAACAGGTTAGCAACAGCAACATGACGTATGATTTATTTCATGTTGTAGGGCCGATCCTCAGTCTGCTAATAACAGACGGTGGACCAAGTAACACAATGAGCTAACACAACGACAACACTAATGAGGTGACCAGGAATATGGTCAACTCTTCCTGTCATTATACTGTAAGTTAAACGGTAAGCCCATACGGGTCATACAGAGCCTGGGAAGTGGGACGTAATCAAATTAGATACAAGGAATGGGAAGGTAGCTCCAGTTCCTTGGATCAACATAATCTACCGAGATTAGATAGGAACATAAAAATGGAGGAACACTGTAAGCAGGCCTACCGGCCTATGCTAGGCCAGTCCTTCTCTAATTCAGACTCTCTAACAGTGATGTTTACAATATGCCGAATTAATTTGGTGAGGTAAAAGCGAATACAAATTTCAGTCTCCATGGCTGGGGAAAATTCCTGAAGAGAGCCTTCAAGTTTTTTTATATACAAATATGTGTAATATGTGCCGGCAGCCAGACCAAAATTTCGTAGTGCTGGGAAAATTACGTGTTTGAGATGTTAAAGCTGGAGGTGGTGGTGGTGGTTGGGGGTGGTAATGGTGGTTGTAGTGTTGGTAGTCATAATAATAATGGTGGGGGTGGTGGTTGGGGGGTGGTAATGGTGGTTGTAGTGTTGGTAGTCATAATAATAATGGTGGTGGTGGTGGTTGGGGGGTGGTAATGGTGGTTGTAGTGTTGGTAGTCATAATAATAATGGTGGTGGTGGTGGTTTGGGGGGTGTAATGGTGGTTGTAGTGTTGGTAGTCATAATAATAATGGTGGTGGTGGTGGTTGGGGGTGGTAATGGTGGTTGTAGTGTTGGTAGTCATAATAATAATGGTAGTGGTGGTGGTTTGGGGGTGGTAATGGTGGTTGTAGTGTTGGTAGTCATAATAATAATGGTGGTGGTGGTGTGTTAGGGGGTGGTAATGGTGGTTGTAGTGTTGGTAGTCATAATAAATGGTAGTGGTGGTGGTTTGGGGGTGGTAATGGTGGTTGTAGTGTTGGTAGTCATAATAATAATGGTGGTGGTGGTGGTGGTTGGGGGTGGTAATGGTGGTTGTAGTCTTGGTAGTCATAATAATAATGGTGGTGGTGGTGGTGGTGGTTGGGGGGTGGTAATGGTGGTTGTAGTGTTGGTAGTGATAATAATAATGGTGGTGGTGGTGGTTGGGGGGGTGGTAATGGTGGTTGTAGTGTTGGTAGTGATAATAATAATGGTGGTGGTGGTGGTTGGGGGGTGGTAATGGTGGTTGTAGTGTTGGTAGTCATAATAATAATGGTGGTGGTGGTGGTTGGGGGGTGGTAATGGTGGTTGTAGTGTTGGTAGTCATAATAATAATGGTGGTGGTGGTGGTTGGGGGGTGGTAATGGTGGTTGTAGTGTTGGTAGTCATAATAATAATGGTGGTGGTGGTGGTTGGGGGGTGGTAATGGTGGTTGTAGTGTTGATAGTCATAATAATAATGGTGGTGGTGGTGGTTGGGGGGTGGTAATGGTGGTTGTAGTGTTGGTAGTCATAATAATAATGGTGGTGGTGGTGGTTGGGGGGTGGTAATGGTGGTTGTAGTGTTGGTAGTCATAATAATAATGGTGGTGGTGGTGGTTGGGGGTGGTAATGGTGGTTGTAGTGTTGGTAGTCATAATAATAATGGTGGTGGTGGTGGTTGGGGGGGTGGTAATGGTGGTTGTAGTGTTGGTAGTCATAATAATAATGGTGGTGGTGGTGGTGGTTGGGGGGTGGTAATGGTGGTTGTAGTGTTGGTAGTCATAATAATAATGGTGGTGGTGGCGGTTGGGGGGTGGTAATGGTGGTTGTAGTGTTGGTAGTCATAATAATAATGATGGTGGTTGGGGGGTGGTAATGGTGGTTGTAGTGTTGGTAGTCATAATAATAATGGTGGTGGTGGTGGTTGGGGGGGTGGTAATGGTGGTTGTAGTGTTGGTAGTCATAATAATAATGGTGGTGGTGGTGGTGTTGGGGGGTGGTAATGGTGGTTGTAGTGTTGGTAGTCATAATAATAATGGTGGTGGTGGTGGTTGGGGGGTGGTAATGGTGGTTGTAGTGTTGGTAGTCATAATAATAATGGTGGTGGTGGTGGTTGGGGGGTGGTAATGGTGGTTGTAGTGTTGGTAGTCATAATAATAATGGTGGTGGTGATGGTTGGGGGGGTGGTAATGGTGGTTGTAGTGTTGGTAGTCATAATAATAATGGTGGTGGTGGTGGTTGGGGGGTGGTAATGGTGGTTGTAGTGTTTGGGAGTCATAATAATAATGGTGGTGGTGGTGGTTGGGGGGTGGTAATGGTGTTTGTAGTGTTGGTAGTCATAATAATAATGGTGGTGGTGGTGGTTGGGGGGTGGTAATGGTGGTTGTAGTGTTGGTAGTCATAATAATAATGGTGGTGGTGGTGGTTGGGGGTGTTAATGGTGGTTGTAGTGTTGGTAGTCATAATAATAATGGTGGTGGTGGTGGTTGGGGGTGGTAATGGTGGTTGTAGTGTTGGTAGTCATAATAATAATGGTGGTGGTGGTGGTTGGGGGGTGGTAATGGTGGTTGTAGTGTGGTAGTCATAATAATAATGGTGGTGGTGGTGGTGGTTGGGGGTGGTAATGGTGGTTGTAGTGTTGGTAGTCATAATAATAATGGTGGTGGTGGGTGGTTGGGGGGGTGGTAATGGTGGTTGTAGTGTTGGTAGTCATAATAATAATGGTGGTGGTGGTGGTTGGGGGGTGGTAATGGTGGTTGTAGTGTTGGTAGTCATAATAATAATGGTGGTGGTGGTGGTGGTTGGGGGTGGTAATGGTGGTTGTAGTGTTGGTAGTCATAATAATAATGGTGGTGGTGGTGGTGGTTGGGGGGGTGGTAATGGTGGTTGTAGTGTTGGTAGTCATAATAATAATGGTGGTGGTGGTGGTTGGGGGGTGGTAATGGTGGTTGTAGTGTTGGTAGTCATAATAATAATGGTGGTGGTGGTGTGGTTGGGGGTGGTAATGGTGGTTGTAGTGTTGGTAGTCATAATAATAATGGTGGTGGTGGTGGTTGGGGGGGTGGTAATGGTGGTTGTAGTGTTGGTAGTCATAATAATAATGGTGGTGGTGGTGGTTCGGGGTGGTAATGGTGGTTGTAGTGTTGGTAGTCATAATAATAATGGTGGTGGTGGTGGTTGGGGGGTGGTAATGGTGGTTGTAGTGTTGGTAGTCATAATAATAATGGTGGTGTGATGGTTGGGGGGTGTAATGGTGGTTGTAGTGTTGGTAGTCATAATAATAATGGTGGTGGTGATGGTTGGGGGGGTGGTAATGGTGGTTGTAGTGTTGGTAGTCATAATAATAATGGTGGTGGGGGTTGGGGGGTGGTAATGGTGGTTGTAGTGTTGGTAGTCATAATAATAATGGTGGTGGTGGTAATGGTGGTTGTAGTGTTGGTAGTCATAATAATAATGGTGGTGGTGGATGTGTGCTGCTGATAATTAAACTACGTAAGAAAAAAAGGCAAGACAATGAAAGAAAATATATTAGCTGCAAAAATATTTTTCGGAGTCCATCAAAAAAATACTTTTTTCTAAACTGAATCTCATATTTACTAACAATATTAACACCAGAGACTTACCATTGCTACTACTACTACTACTACTACTACGACTACTGCTACTGCTGCTACTACTAGTGATGAGCCTACCTGGAGGGCCTCTCTGAAGCGGTTGCTCATGATGTGGTAGAGGATGGGGTTGACGCAAGTGGAGATGTAGTAGGAGACGCCGGAGATGTTGTAGAGGACGTTAAAGAGCTGCACAGCCACGGGGTTGGTAGGGTCAGCGTGGATGGCCATCAGGCGCTGTGCCTGGTGCGGGGCGAAGCACACGAAGAACGCTGCAACCACGGCAACTGTGGCAACACCAGAGGGAGAGAAAGAGACATGAGCTTCTTTCTGGTGGATGAGAGAGAGAGAGAGAGAGAGAGAGGAGAGAGAGAGAGAGAGAGATGAGAGAGAGAGAGAGAGAGAGACGGAGAGAGAGAGGGAGAGATAGGAGAGAGAGAGAGAGAGAGAGAGAGAGAGAGAGAGAGAGAGAGAGAGAGAGAGAGAGAGAGAGAGAGAGAGAGAGAGGAGAGAGAGAGAGAGAGAGAGAGAGAGAGATTCTTTTGTAACAATTACCTTTTAAACTCGACCATCCAAAAATAATTCTTTTAATTATCCAGTACATGTCAGTTAAAATCTACTGGCCATCACATTCACTGGTCTCGTCGTAAAAGTGACGCCATTACCTTTTTTCTCTCTCTCTCTGCTATTGATAGAATTACATTCTCATTAACGATGGAATTACTCCGTGCTTAAAAATAACAGGATTACCTTTAGTAGCAATATAAGGCTTGTCTTCTGTTAAAATAATAGGATTACCTCAAGTAACAATGATAGAATTACATTTCGTAAAAGTCACAGGATTACCTTAGCAAAAAAAAAAAAAATCAAGGGATTACTTTTTTGTAACAATGAGAGGATTACCTTTTTTGGGTAAATAAAAGTCACAGACTCAGGATTTTTTGCGTCAAAAGGTGAATCTCTCAGTCAGGTACAAAAGAGGCTCTCCCGTGAGTCTCCAGTCTCGCATTGGACAAAATTCCCCTGACAACCATAGTCACTGGTCGTACCTTTGATCGTACGCTGAACTAAAGTAGAACAAAGAGAACATAGCAGTGCAGGACATGAACAGATGGACAGAACACTAACTGATTATTATATACGTTATAACCGTGTTCTGAAGTGTTCTGACACGTTCTTCTTAAAAAAAAAAAATAAATTCGGACTTGTTTTTTTGGGGGGCGGGTCTGTTCCCACCGTGTTCTGACATGTTGTTCTGACATGTATCTAACATTCTGTGACAGTGGTAGTGGAGTTGTAACATTTATAGAGCAGTGATAATGGTTTTGTAACCTTTGTACACCAGTGGTAGTGGTGTTGCAACTTCCCTACATCAATGGTAATGGTGTTGCAACCTCCTTACACCAGTGGCAGTGGTGTTGCAACCTCCCTACAACAGTGGCAGTGGTGTTGCACCATCCCTACACCACTGGTAGTGGTGTTGCAACCTCCCTACACTACTGGCAGTGGTGTTGCAACTTCCCTACACAGCTGGCTGTGGTGCAGCAACTTCCCGACACCACTGGCAGTGGTGCGGCAATTTCCCTACACCACCGGCAGCCCGAAACTGCTGCTTGTGCAGCAATTTACAGCGATGTACAACGCTTACAATGTCGCGCACTAGCCATCGTTTACATATTACACAGTGCCTCTGTCAGAGCAAGTGCCTCTGTAAGAGCAAGTGCCTCTGTAAGAGCAAGTGCCTCTGTAAGAGCAAGTGCCTCTGTAAGAGCAAGAGCCTCAGCAGTGTTCGGCCCACTGGAATTATCTCCCTTCACAAATAGAATTTTATGCTAGTTTGTAGTCTACAGTGAGGGACCCAGGTTCCCCTCACACACTGCTGGTGTTCACTGCCCAGGTTCCCCTCACACACTGCTGGTGTTCACTGTTCAGGTTCCCCTCACACACTGCTGGTGTTCACTGCCCAGGTTCCCTTAACACACTGCTGGTGTTCACTGCCCAGGTTCCCTTAACACACTGCTGGTGTTCACTGCCCAGGTTCCCCTCACACACTACTGGTGTTCACTGCCCAGGTTCCCTTAACACACTGCTGGTGTTCACCGACCAGGTTCCCTTAACACACTGCTGGTGTTCACCGCTCAGGTTCCCTTAAAACACTGCTGGTATTCACCGCCCAGGTTCCCTTAACACACTGCTGGTGTTCACTGCCCAGGTTCCCTTAACACACTGCTGGTGTTCACTGCCCAGGTTCCCCTCACACACTACTGGTGTTCACTGCCCAGGTTCCCTTAACACACTACTGGTGTTCACTGCCCAGGTTCCCTTAACACACTGCTGGTGTTCATTGCCCAGGTTCCCTTAACACACTGCTGGTGTTCACTGCCCAGGTTCCCTTAACACACTGCTGGTGTTCACTACTCAGGTTCCCTTAACACACTACTGGTGTTCACTGCCCAGGTTCCCTTAACACACTACTGGTGTTCACTGCCCAGGTTCCCTTAACACACTGCTGGTGTTCATTGCCCAGGTTCCTTTAACACACTGCTGGTGTTCACTGCCCAGGTTCCCCTCACACACTACTGGTGTTTACTGCCCAGGTTCCCTTAACACACTGCTGGTGTTCACTGCCCAGGTTTCCCTCACATACTGCTGGTGTTCACTGCCCATGTTCCCTTAACACACTGCTGGTGTTCATTGCCCAGGTTCCCTTAACACACTGCTGGTGTTCACTGCCCAGGTTCCCCTCACACACTACTGGTGTTTACTGCCCAGGTTCCCTTAACACACTGCTGGTGTTCACTGCCCAGGTTCCCTTAACACACTGCTGGTGTTCACTGCCCAGGTTCCCTTAACACACTGCTGGTGTTCACTGCCCAGGTTCCCCTCACACACTGCTGGTGTTCACTGCCCAGGTTCCCTTAACACACTGCTGGTGTTCACTGCCCAGGTTCCCTTAACACACTGCTGGTGTTCACTGCCCAGGTTCCCCTCACACACTGCTGGTGTTCACTGCCCAGGTTCCCTTAACACACTGCTGGTGTGCACTGCCCAGGTTCCCTTAACACACTGCTGGTGTTCACTGCCCAGGTTCCCTTAACACACTACTGGTGTTCACTGCTCAGGTTCCCTTAACACACTACTGGTGTTCACTGCCCAGGTTCCCTTAACACACTGTTGGTGTTCACTGCCCAGGTTCCCTTAACACACTACTGGTGTTCACTGCCCAGGTTCCCCTAACACACTGCTGGTGTTCACTGCCCAGGTTCCCTCAACACACTACTGGTGTTCACTGCCCAGGTTCCCTTAACACACTACTGGTGTTCACTGCCCAGGTTCCCTTAACACACTACTGGTGTTCACTGCCCAGGTTCCCTTAACACACTACTGGTGTTCACTGCCCAGGTTCCCTTAACACACTACTGGTGTTCACTGCCCAGGTTCCCTCACACACTACTGGTGTTCACTGCCCAGGTTCCCTTAACACACTGCTGGTGTTCACTGCCCAGGTTCCCTTAACACACTGCTGGTGTTCACTGCCCAGGTTCCCTTAACACACTGCTGGTGTTCACTGCCCAGGTTCCCTTAACACACTGCTGGTGTTCACTGCCCAGGTTCCCTTAACACACTGCTGGTGTTCACTGCCCAGGTTCCCTTAACACACTGCTGGTGTTCACTGCCCAGGTTCCCTTAACACACTGCTGGTGTTCACTGCCCAGGTTCCCTTAACACACTGCTGGTGTTCATAATTGCAATGATAATAATAATTGTAATAATTAAAAATAATAATAATAATAATAATAATAATAATAATAATAATAATAATAATAATAATAATTATTATTGTTTTTTTTTAATTTTTGTCTCTCTTATTTCTGTTTTTTATCTTATTTTTTCTTTGACGTTATTCACGACCTTCTTGCACACCAATTCTTCCTCTTCTTCCTCTTTCTCATTCATTTCCTCATCTTTCTCTTCTGTTTACCGCTCTCTTTATTTCTCATCCTCTTGCAGTTGCTTCTGTTGCTGCTGCTGCTATTCCTGTTGCTACTGTTCCTGTTGCTGCTGCTATAGCTGCTGTTTCTTTTGCTGTTCCTGTTGCTGCTGTTGCTGCTGTTGCTGCTGTTGCTCACGCTCTTGTTTAGGCTTTTATGGGTATAAATGTCTCTAATATTTTAAGGCAAATTTAATATACACCAGGAAAGTCTATGATGATGATGATGATGATGATGATGGTGTGTGTGTGTGTGTGTGTGTGTGTGTGTGGTGTGTGTGTGTGTGTGTGTGTGTGTGTGTGTGTGTGTGTGTGTGTGAGTGTGTGTGTGTGTGTGTGTGTGTGTGTGTGTGTGTGTGTGTGTGTGTGTGTGTGTGTGTGTGTGTGTGTGTGTGTGTGTGTGTGCGTGTGAGTGTGTGTGTGTGTGTGTGTGTGTGTGTGTGTGTGTGTGTGTGTGTGTGTGTGTGTGTGTGTGTGTGTGTGTGTGTGTGTGTGTGTGTGTGCGTGTGAGTGTGTGTGTGTGTGTGTGTGTGTGTGTGTGTGTGTGTGTGTGTGTGTGTGTGTGTGTGTGTGTGTGTGTGTGTGTGTGTGTGTGTGTGTGTGTGTGTGTGTGTGTGTGTGTGTGTGTGTGTGTGTTTGACTCAAACAGTTAATTCCTTAATAAAGTTTCAACCCTATCGACTGCTCGAGTATCATTAAGGTTACACATCACCTGCTCTAAATATGTATCACAGGTATCCCAAGACTCCTCACGGGTATCCCAAAAACAAACACCTAAGACAGCATTCATCCCTGAATTTAATTCTAATATCGCTGATCTCCCCCAATTTTTTTAGACAGATTTATAATTAAAATTGAATTTAAAGCAGAAGTTTTTAAATGTAAATTACCCCAGCGGAGCCATCCTCATAAATTCACTGTTTCACTGTATTCATTGCAGTGAGAGGTAGGAGCGTTCCAAGGATTTTTTTGCAGTGAAAAAATTAATGTTGTTTTTATCCTCGTGTAAATGTCTTGACAGTGACAAAGCGTCATTGCTGGAAGCAGCGTCAGTGTTGCGTCAGGAGGTAATTACTGGAAGCAGCGTCAGTGTTGAGTCGGGAGGTAATTACTGGAAGCAGCGTCAGTGTTGCGTCAGGAGGTAATTACTGGAAGCAGCGTCAGTGTTGCGTCACGAGGCAGTTACTGGAAGCAACGTCAGTGTTGCGTCAGGAGGTAGTTACTGGAAGCAGAGTCAGTGTTGCGTCACGAGGCAGTTACTGGAAGCAACGTCAGTGTTGCGTCAGGAGGTAGTTACTGGAAGCAGCTCCAGTGTTGCGTCACAAGGTAATTCTCTAAACCAATTCCGTTGTAGTGTAACATGTAATTTACAGTATCTTGCTGTGTTGCCATTGTAGTGTAACACTGTGTACCCGAGTCATGGTGAACACCACCGTGAATGTACAGTGTACAAACTGTACACACATTGAGAGATACTGTTCTCTCAGTGTATATTACTGGACGGAGTCTGGCTTCAGGAAAACCAGATGAGACATAAATTCAGTGGAGTATGTTACTGAAAGGAGTTTGGTTTTAGGAGAGCCAGGAGATTAATACATCCCTGGAGAGCTACTAACCGAGTCATGTCTAGTTGCTTCTTCTCGGTCATTGGACTTGGTTAATTACACTCTTGGACTGCTAATCATGTGATGAAGATCAGGTGAGTAATTAGTGCATTAGACTGAAATTTCTCGACCGCAGGAGGGTCATGAAGGCTCAGATTCCTGTATTTACCAGCATAAAGAATGATTTTAGACCTAAGATTGACATGATACACACACACACACACACACACACACACACACACACACACACACACACACACACACACACACATTATGTTAGAATAATACAATATCTTATTGCGTGTGATGTAAAACTGAAATTGCAAATCAAGAGCTAAATTCTGATGCCGACTCTGTACTGCTCTGGTCTTGCAACAGCAGGCACCGAGGGTTCAATTCCCTGCACTCCCTGCAAAACATTTGTTTCTCTTTACCATAAGACGAACATTTATATTTTACATAACTTGTAAAACAGTGAGAAATATTACGAAATGTATCATTGACCGGATAGTGGGTCAGGTAAGACGACTGGAGCAAGAAGCACGAGACAAGAAGGAGCAAGAAGCGAGGAACACGAGACAAGAAGGAAGAAGCAAGAGACTATGAGCTACCATTTTGTGAATATGATCTGAGGACATCCTTGAAGATTGACGATATGTGTATATATATATATATATATATATATATATATATATATATATATATATATATATATATATATATATATATATATATATATATGCAAAACAACCACTCTGAAAGAATAGAGAAATTCCAAGCGCTTTCGTGACTACTCACATTATCAAGTTCCTTGATAATGTGAGTAGTCACGAAGCGCTTGGAATTTCTCTATTCTTTCAGAGTGGTTGTTTTGCATATTTTGAAATCACCTGTTTACTGTGATCTTATTGCATATATATATATATATATATATATATAATATATATATATATATATATATATATATATATATATATATATATATATATATATATATATATATATATATATACTGACAAATGCACACACATTGATTTCATTAAATGTTAATCTGAAAAACATATTGCAGGTCGGGTGGTTACCCTGCAGTCTAGTGGAAATTGATTAATCTACTGGTAGAGTGCGATTGATATTTCAGCTTCTCGTGATGCAGACGACTGACGCTGTACAAGACAGAACCTAAAATGAGATAGAAGGAGGAGGAAAAAGAAGAAGAGAAGGAGGAGAAGAGAATAACAATGACATTTCTTGTAGATGTTATTATCACACACAACAACAATAACAGCAGCAGTAGACAAAAAAAAAAAAACATTCATCCTCGGCTGGGTGTCACCCAGGACTCAGGAACTTATTACATTCTTCAAATTCAATCTCGTCACTGCAGCATCAATGGCTGAAGAGCCAGATGAATAACAACACATATTCTTCCGCGCACTGAACCCGGCGTTCTCCAATCGGGCGTTCTCAGAGGGGCAGATCCATGACAAAACAACTGATCAAAAGTGGTCATTGAGATGCGCGTCTCTGGAACAGTGTTGTATCTCAAATGAATTCGGATTTTCCAGCAAGGAGAGACGTATATGTAAATCTTCTTATACCTGTTATCACTGTTCACCTGACAGTAAATAAGTACATGGGTGGAGATAAATGATATAAAATACCAACACGATGGAAAAATAGACACAAATGTAGTGTAATGTGATCCTTTATTGGCTACGTTGCGCCCACACAGTGGGCGATCTGTTTGTGACTTGGTAAAGCCACCTGTGTGGGCGAAATATAGTCAATAAAGAATCGCATTATATTGCATTTGTGTCCATTTGTTTTTCCAGGAAAATGGGTGTTGCCTGCTTTGGATCGCATCCTGGGCAGGGCAAAGCTTCTGGTAAAGTTATTTTATACCTACTGTCCCTATTTACCTAGCAGTGCGGCATCCTGCATCCTGCTAGCATACCTTAGATCCTCTTAATACATCTTAGATAATAATAATTTATATCAGCACTAAGCATACCTCAGAGTATGCTGGGGTTCACATGAACAAAGGCTGGGTAACATCTCTTGGGTTGCACATTCAGCCGAATTTAAACTGTCCAAACGTAGATCTACATTTTCACGCGTAATGCCCCGACTTTGATTTTCTCCATAAGAAAGCATGTAAAAAAAAAAACGTAGATCTACGCTTGGACAGTTTGGACAGTTTTTACAAACAATGAAGATATACTTGCTGGACGAAAGATATCTCTGTGTAAACAAGAGAAACTGAGTCTCGTGCCTGCAACAGTCACACCTAAAAAACTTGTTTTTCTTATCTGATTACTTGGTAAGGAGATTTACAGGACTGATATATATATATCCTCTCCAGCACAAAGCTGTGTGTGTGGAGAATGAATCATGATTTTATTTCACGCTTATGAGGCATTAAATATTTTCTGATCTATGAGCCAGCAGTATTGACGATGTCATGTCACTAGTGGGTGAGTTTAGACGAAGCTAAGTCACTAGTCACTGTGATCTAACTGTTCGTTTTTTTTCCTCGACGATGATCTTGGCTTCGTCCTGGTTTAAAATTTACAGCGGAACATCTACCTGCCTAATCATTTTTATTCTCTAGATGCACTAAACCTGTATGGGTGGTTCAAAGCAAGAGTAATGGACGCTTGATCCTCCACACACACACACACACACACACACACACACACACACACACACACACACACACACACACACACACACACACACACACACACACATACACACACATACACAGGTGAGAAATTTTGACACAAAAAAAAATGCTCTCAAAAATGAACAATTGAAAAACGGAGAAACAAGACAGCAATAAAGGTGACACAAAGAAGAAATTGTTAAAAACTTTAAGAGTTCCGAGATCAAAAGGTAACTCAGTGCTCTAAACAATGAAAAAAAAATACTACACAGTGAGAGGAATTGTGATACTAGGGCAGAATGTAACGCCATTAGCAATTGTGATACTAGGGTACAATATAACGCCATTAGGAATTGTGATACTAAGGTACAATATAACGCCATTAGGAATACTGATACTAGGGTACAATATAACGCCATTAGGAATTGTGATACGAGGGTAGAATATAACGCCATTAGAAATGGTGATACAAGGGTATAATGTACTGACATTATGAAATTCATGGGAGAGTGCTGACCCATCATGGTTCCCACAGCGTGTGTGGAACGTGAGACAGTCAGGCTGGATCACTGGAAGGTCTGGTGTATGTTGAAGATTAAAACACCTGTACAATAGTTGGGTATCTTTATTGATGAAATGTATCTCCTACACAGTAGACTTCTTCAGTCAAATACAGAGGCATCAGGTGTAGTGGTGAAATAAAGATGATGTAATTAATCCTTCAAGCTTGGAAAAAAAAGTATTTGAGGTGGTCAGTCCCTCAACCTGGAGAAGAGTTGAGCTCCATGGAGCTCAACTCTGAGGGACTCACCACCTCAAATACTTTTCACCAAGGTTGATGGACTGATTACATCATCCTTATTTCACCACTACTACTACTACTACTACTACTGCCTCTGTACTTGACTGAAGACGCCTACCTGTTGCACAGGTGTCTTAATCTTCAACTTGTCGGTATTTTATACTATTATCAACAACAGTTGTATGTTATCCAGAGAGAATATTTAAACTGAATAACTCTCAGCTGTCTTGCATGACTGTTTTGCATGACTGTCTTGCATGACTGTCCTGCATGACTGTCCTGCATGACATTCCTGCATGACATTCCTGCAGGACTGTCCTGCATGACTGTCTTGGTAGAGCAACGCACAATACCGATTGAATGTAAATAATGTGAAACGTTTTTATATTTAAATTCCACAACCAATTTCATGTGTCTTAGTTACACAGGAGAGGAATGACTGTAGGCATCACATGAGGAATGACTGTAAGCATCACATGAGGAATGAGTAGTTACCATACCTAGCATCTTGATGACCGCCTTGTTCCTGGAACCATCATTGGTAGAGGAGCAGTTGTGTGAGCCGATAGAGGGCACCGATCGAGCCAGACGCGACGACTTCTTGAGCTGCAGAGCGATACACACGTAGAGCACCGTAATGAGCAGCATCGGAGCCACGAAGAACAACACTGACGAGATCTCGAAGACAAACTTGAAGCGCTTCTTGATGTAACAGCCAGACGAATTGGGGTCGTCCTTGCCGTCAGGGGTCTGTTCGTAAACTATTCCGTACTGGATGGCTATAGGGACGGCGCAGACTGTCGCAACCACCCAGATAACGGCGATGGAGCGGATGACACGACCCAGCTGTGACATGGTGTGCGAGCGAAGCGGGTGGCAAATCCCGATGTAGCGCTCGACGGTGAAGGCCGCAATGGTCAGAATCGAGGCGTTGGTCGATATCTCGGCCGTAAAGCCTCGGAGGAAACAGAACTCTTCGCCGAAGATGTAAGGTTTGCCCCACCACAAGAGGTACATCTCGTCGGGCATACCGAAGGCCAGGAGCAGCAGGTCGCTGATTGCCATACTGAAGAGGTAGTAGTTGGTAGCAGTGTGCATGATACGGTTCCTGACGATGACGACGCAGGTGGCTACATTACCCAGTACTCCTGTGATGGTGATAAGTACATAGATGACTGTCATGGCCACTATCATTGTCTTGTCGTGGGGCAGCGCGTCTTTTTCGCTCTCCTCACTCAGCGTCACGTTGGTTTCCGGCGTCACCACGTCTGTAGTGCTGGGGGGGACGAGGGTGGTGACTAAGGTGGTGAAGAGCGTCACCACTTGTGTGGTGTCTGTGGCTGTGGTGGTGAGGGTTGGGGGAGATGTACTCATGTCTTGAGTACTCGTCTCCATCACAGTGTCGTTCATCTCCTCCATGACTCAACCTGCAGAGTACACAAATAAAACTGTTAATCTCTCACCTTAACAAAACCCTCACCAAATTTTCTTCTCTGCATCGCTGTATTTTCCCCTATAAGCTTTGCACAGTTTAATATTAAAAAAGCAAACAATAATCACCGTAAGTGACGAATCACTGTGGAAAAGTAAGATATATGTTCTCTCTTATTTCAAAGAGTCTTTCTTTAAACAAGACATTACCGTTTATTTTTATAATTAATATAGCAGTTGTAAGAACTTCCTTTGTATATCACATATAAAATATACCAAATTAATGCTGGTTGCTGTAGAGACAAAACTAATTAAGTCTGTGGACGTATTTATAATATCAGCAGATGCCATAAACTTGGATGATGTCCACCATCACATAGTTAATGTAGAAAAACGCTGTAGGAGTTTTAAAATTAAATTCGAAAGAACATTCGTGAATATTTCCATCTTATGTGGAATACAGAACGATCTTGTCACTCGTTAGTGTGTGCTGGATAGTGGCTCTCACCTCCTTTTTCTCCCTAGCCTTGATTACTTCCCAGGATGCTCCAGACGCAAGAGGCGGGTGGCAGCAGCAGCAGGTCGTGAAGGGTGGCACCCCTCGTCAGGTAACAGTGCCATAACGCTGGGGTTAATCAGATGATGATGCACAAATAACCCTCACACATAAGAGAGGAGCTTACGACGACGTTTCGGTCCGACTTGGACCATTTATAGTCACACTAACAAAAAGGAGAAAAGGAGGGAGTATATATAGGCCAGCAGACAGGGACGGGACAAGAGAGGTAGTAGGAAAGGACGAAGAAAGGTAGTGGTAGAGGAAGTAGTAGTAGTAGTGGAGTCAGTCAAATACTAAGGAAGAGAAGCACTGAAAGGGAGCTAGCGACCCACAGAAGGTAAGAGCAAGAACACAGAGGGGGGAAATAATAAAGGGCAAATACCCAAGGCAGAAGAAAGAAAACCCAAAGGAGAAAGAGAAAAGGGGAAGAGGGAGAAGGGGAAAAAAGAATCAGGTTAAGTCACGGGTTTTCTGAAGTTTGGAGCATTTTACAATGTAATGGGAAAGGTAGGCATCTACAGAGACAAAGTCAGGACTAAGATTCATACAAGGAAAGTTGTGTATAAGGGAGGATTCAAGCAGACGGCGACTGTGAAAGTTAGAAGTAGGATAGACAGTTTTAGCAGAAGACCAGTCAATAGGATGACTGTGATCTCTGACGTGACAGAAAAGAGCATTGTTGGTGTCAGCAAGTCTAACACTACTTTTGTGCTCTCTGAATCTGTCAGAAAGAGAACGGGCAGTTTCGCCAAAGAACTGGAGAGGACAGGAGGAACAAGAAATAGAGTAGACACCAGGAGCATCTATAGAGGGAGAAGAGGTATATACTAGATTGGTGCGAAGAGTGTTAGTCTGGCGAAAAGTAAGTTTGATGTCTAAGGAACGGAGAGTTGTTGAGATTAGAAAGACTGGAAATGTAGGGAAGGCAGAGGACAGGAGAGTTCCCAGGATTAGAGAGTTTGGGAGAGAAGAAAGTCCTTTTAGCACGTGAGAAGGCAGAGACTATGAAATGGGAAGGGAAGCCAAGACGGGAAAATGAATTATGAAGAGTGAAAATTTCTGACTCAAGGATCTGAGGATCAGCAATGCAGAAAGCACGGAGAAAGAGGGAAATAAGAACACTTTTCTTGACAGAGGAAGCATGATCAGAGAAGTAGTGAATGTACATGCCACTGTGGATAGGCTTGCGGTAAACGGAAAAGGCAAAACCTGTATCTGAGCGGTCGACATAAACATCAAGGAAAGGAAGCAAGGAATTAGATTCCCATTCAGCTTTAAACTTAATGGAAGGGGCAAGATTATTAAGAGCATCAAGAAATGGTTGGAAGAGACTGGAGTCATGAGGCCAAAGAGCAGTACTCCTCTTTCTTAGTATTTGACTGACTCCACTTCTACTACTACTACCTCTACCACTACCTCTCTTCCTCCTTTTCTACTACCTCTCTTGTCCCGTCCCTGTCTGCTGGCCTATATTTACTCCCTTCTTCTCTCCTTTTTGTTAGTGTGACTTTGTAAATGGTTAAAATCGGACCGAAACGTCGTCGTAAGCTCCTCTCTTCTGTGTGTTGTTTATTTGTGTATTGTTCCAGTTACGGTATTGTGTCTTTTTCTGTAACAGATGATGGTGTGCTCAGTGGCTCCTCGGAGGCGCTGTTGCAGACGTGTAAGTGGTGATTGCTCTAGCTCTATGACCGGGGCGCTGATGATTGTTGTCTTTCAATCACTAGAGTGCTTTGCCGTACCTCGCTTCCTAGAACAAACTCATTGTTGTTACTCTTTGTCAGAAATTCCTCTAACAGGAGTCTTTGTCATGTCTCAGTGAAAGTTATGGAACTATATCTGGTCTGGTTACTCACATGTGAATTGAATTGTTGGGTCTGTTATTTCTGGAATATTTACCAATAAAAATACCGGACGCGGCAGTATTTGCCTTGGGGCTGGTGTGGTGGTAGTGCCAGGAGAGAGTGATTTCTAAGGGGCAGAGTCGCCTAGAGGAAGGTGAAGGGAAAAGAACTGTTTCTTATTATGGATTCTATCACGCCCATACAGCCAATATCCTCATTAGTAAGAGTGGCGCACTTACCCAGTGCACCACTGTCTGTAAGGTTGTAGTCTCTCTCTCTCTCTCTCTCTCTCTCTCTCTCTCTCTCTCTCTCTCTCTCTCTCTCTCTCTCACATGCAACCCCGTCACTTATCTACCTTTGTTCTTATCTTTTTTTTTCAAAATGTTCCTCTATCCTCTCATTCGTCCTCGATCGTCTTTCTCTCTCCACTTTTCCGCAGCAGCTTCCTTCACTACAACGCTCGCAGTTACTGTGATACGAGTCTCCTGGAAGACGGTTCAGAGTGGTTGAAAGCTTGGAATACCAACACCGTGAGATCAATCTCCATTCCAGAGGTCTTCTGCGAGAGATAGAGATAGAGACAAAGAGAGAGATGGTTCATCACCGCCCTAACCTGCAATTGATGGTTGCTGGGTGTTACAAAAAACGCGATTCTAAAAGCTTAGAGATCTCCAGTGAATACTAGAAAGGACTGCCATTCTAGCATCCAGCCTGTTACTGGGTTTTCGTAACAAGTAGTCAGTATCCTTGTCCAATTATCCATTAAAATTCAGTATGGTTCAATAGTGCTTTAGGATTACAACTGGTAGGCTACTAACTAGAGAAATTAAAATTTAATAAATTTATTAAGTCTATAAGTTGTCTAGAGGTATATTATCAAATTAAATTAATTACAGCAATCAAAATAAAATCAATCTCTCGAGTTCAATATTATTGTGCTGAAAGCACATATCACATTTATAATTCTTAAGTACCGTCAGGTACATTAACATTTAATAAGAATATTACAAATATGTACAAGTGTGAGTATGCGTGTAAGTGCTCTTAAGTAGTTAGCTATGTCTCAAGACTCGAATAAGACTTAAACAAGTGACTGACAAAGTCCTCAAATAAACTAACTTCTTGACCGACTGGCAACCCGAACAGTCTGCTTGAACAACAAAGAATGCTAAGCCCAATAGCAATGCAATATCAAGCGACTGCGACACAGAATCAGGAACTGGGAAATAATATAAAACGACACTAGTAGGGACCATCAGCAGATCCTCCACAAAAGTTACAACACTCCCATAATACTGAATCTTCGTTCAGCATAGGAAAACTGTGACTGTGACAATACACAGGAACCAGTACAAAATTAGGTCAGAAGCTATAGCTAAGGACCTGAGATGTTCAGAGTGTCTATGTGACACACAACCTCAGTACAACGTCGAAAATCACTAAGTCTATACAATGTTCTGTGAACAAAGTTCTACAGAACTAACAAGAATAATGAGACAGACAATCTGTCCAACCAGCAAGCGAGTCTCCAGCAGACTGACAATTTCACGAGAGGTGAGGACACCCCCCCTCGATCACGTGATAGCTACGTGGACAACTGCAGCTCAGAAGCCGGCAGTATAACGAGCGACAAGCGATAATTACAGTAGTTTGACAATCAAGCCTAACTGAGCACATTTTATATACATCCTAACAACATAAGCTAAATAACAATATAATAGTCAAATAATAATATAAAGTCATACATTTACGATTTAGCTATCATCGCAAATATAAGCAATATAAAATTAAATGAAAAGGTAATATACATTACATATATACATAATCATCATTGTTCATTGTCCTCTTCGCTTCCGGGCCGAGTGGACGTGCTGCGCAGGCGCTCCCGATTCAGTTGATTTTCTGCGCAGTTTACCTGTTTTGAGCAATCAAAATGGCGGACAGACATGGACGCAGGGTGAATACTGTCTGTGTGGTGCTGGTACGTGGTGCCCTGAGTAGTTCTACAATGCAGGTGCTGCTGCCAAGTATTATCCGCGATGTATATGGCATACCGAACGAAGAGTTGTATGGTGTAGCAGTGAATGGAGTGTACAGGATCTTCATCAAGTTCAAGAGTGCTGGGTTTTACTCCAGCATAGTCGACGCGTTTCAAGAAAAGAGGATGACCGTTAATTCTGCAGTGGAGGTCTGCCTACATGACGTATCAAGCTATGTAACGTGGGTAAGGTGAGAAATGTCCCCTTTGAGGCCTTGGAATATGATGTTGTGGAGGTATTCCGTAGGTATGGCAAGATCCATTCGGCACAGTTGGGAGTGTGGAAGGATGGGCCTTATATGGGGCTGCCAGAGGGGTCTTTCACATGAAGATGACATTGAGACAACCTATACCATCGTATGTTCTGATGGAAGAGTTCAGAACACAGGTTTATGTATATTATGCAGGACAGCGTCGGACATGTAGGCTGTGCGGGTCTTATGACCATATGGCGGCCCAATGTCATCAAAGGCAGGACGGAGGGAACAGGTGCCAACAACTGTGGAACGACAGCTGCCCTCCTTGGCACCTGCGACAGGTGAAGCTGCAAAACAGGCGTCTGCAAGTTGGAGTGAAGAAGTAGACAGAGCGGAGTCGGAGATGGGAGCGTGCGCACGTTACCTGTGGGAACTGTGTCTGAGCGACCATCTACGGATGAGACTGTTGACAGAAGTGACTTACAACAGGATGGTCTGCTGGACGAGGTCTTGAAAGACTTCTTGGGGGAGGTGGAAGACAGTCAGGAAGGGGAGAAGGACGGGGGGGTATTGGAGGGGGTAGCAGCTGACAAAAGTGTGAGAACACCTTGTGCAATGAGAGTAAGCAGCACATG